ATCATACGTGAAAGAGTTGGAGCTAATGTGAGTAATGTTTTCTACAGTTTGGTTCTCATTATTTGCTGTCTCATTATTATGCTTAGAATGCTTTTTGTTTCTTTGAATATGGTGCATGATTTTTATCGTGGAAGAACATCAATATGATTTTTATTAATTAAGATATTTAGTCATGTAAGAAAATGTTATAAAATTTTACATTTGTCTTTGGTATACGATGATGTCTGAAGAACACAGAATAATGTGATTTCAGTGAAAACGAAGGTTGATAAAGAAACTTGCCAATGAAAAAGGGTTGACAAGCTAAGAGAAAATGAGCATAATTACCTGTGAAAGAGAAGGATGTGAAAATAGTAAAGAATATGAAGAAAGGTTAAATTAAAGGAGGGTTAAATATGTTTTTAGTCCCTAAACTATTGGTCGTTTCTGGTTTTCGTCCCTCTTTCAAAGTAAGGTACAATTTGGTCCTCGTTCTTTTCGAAACGTTCGTTTTAGTCCTCGGAATTTTGGTTTTAGTCCTTATTTTGTTGCTAAATGAGGACCAAATTTTTAAACGGTGTTAATTTTCGAGGACTAAAACGAACGTTTTCGAAAAGAATGAGGACCAAATTGTACCTTACTTTGANACACAGAATAATGTGATTTCAGTGAAAACGAAGGTTGATAAAGAAACTTGCCAATGAAAAAGGGTTGACAAGCTAAGAGAAAATGAGCATAATTACCTGTGAAAGAGAAGGATGTGAAAATAGTAAAGAATATGAAGAAAGGTTAAATTAAAGGAGGGTTAAATATGTTTTTAGTCCCTAAACTATTGGTCGTTTCTGGTTTTCGTCCCTCTTTCAAAGTAAGGTACAATTTGGTCCTCGTTCTTTTCGAAACGTTCGTTTTAGTCCTCGGAATTTTGGTTTTAGTCCTTATTTTGTTGCTAAATGAGGACCAAATTTTTAAACGGTGTTAATTTTCGAGGACTAAAACGAACGTTTTCGAAAAGAATGAGGACCAAATTGTACCTTACTTTGAAAGAGGGACGAAAACCAGAAACGACCAATAGTTTAGGGACTAAAAACATATTTAACCCATTAAAGGAAGAGAAGCATGTGAAAATTTTAACATTTTCCAACCATCAATAATTTTTAAATTCGTCTAATAATTTTTTTGTAATATATTATTAGCTACTTCTTCTTTTATATTGTAGGTATTTAAGAAAGAAAAAGTATCAACAATAAAAAAAACTACAAAACTTATAATTATTATTCATAACATGTTTATTTTAATTTTTAGGAAACATTAATTGCAGTTTATATAATAATATTTTGGTTTATATTTGATGTTTATATTTATTTTTTGTGTCATATTATTTAATTTTGGTTTTTTTACGATAATCAAATCATTTGAATAATAAAAAAATAAATTATTTACTTTTTCGACAGTTTTGAAAATTCCAACTATGTAAACTCAATAATTACTGGCGGTTTTGGAAAACCCTCACAAGTATCGACGGTTTTTGAAAACCCTTACAAATACTGATAATTTTGGTAAAATTCTCGCTAATACCGATAGTTTTGGAAAAATTCTCGCTACTGGCGGTTTTGGAAAAAACCTCACTAATATCGGCATTTTTGGCAAAAATCCCACTAATACCGACGGTTTTGGCAAAACACCCGTTAATACCGTCGGTTTTTTGAGAAACCGCCGGTAATTATTTAGCGACGTAACTTTTTCCAGAGATTTTTTGAACCTTGGGTAACATACTTTGTGGGAATTAAAAGCATCGAAAACGAAAAAAATAACCTCCGAAAAAATTGTATGTTGTTGTAGTGCATAATTTTCTCAATATTAAAATCTTAAGTAATTTTATAATGTTAAATCATTCTTTACTTTAGAAAAAGTAATTCAAATAACAAAATAAAGACCTAGAATAACGTATAGTTACATAACAATGCACTTAGGTGGATAGGTAAAGAGTTTTATAAAAATGATACTTTTACACAATAATTTTTTTTACATTCATTTAATTTATTATTTTTTATTTTTCTAAAAAAATAGAATAATTTATTTTTTATGATTATTTTATTCTTATATTTCTATTAAATGAATGAAAAAATTTATTAAAGTTTTATTGTTTCATATTTGTTATAATTTTTTTATTCAACTTTTTTTCTTGATTTTGTCTTTAAATGAATTTATATAGATATTACTTTCTTGTTGGAGTTGTTGGGTCTTATAAGTCTTCGTCCTTCCATTAATATGACTTCTCTTACAGTAAAGTGTTTGTTTTTGTTAGTGTGGAAAAACCTTTTGACTTTTTTTTTCACTTTATTATTCATTTCTTATCTTGTGTTTGTTAGTGATATAAAAAAAACTAATATAACTATATAGTTATAAAATTAGAAGGTTTGAATTTTAAGCAAAACGTGGTAGTATGTGTTTATAACAAAGTTTGTCCAAAAAAATCAGAATGTTTGAATTAAGTATCCCACTCTTGTTTAAAAAAATAACTTTATAACATTGTATCAATTTAACGAAGCACACTTTTAATAAAGGTGAAATTAGACTATTTTGCTCATATTTGTGTGTCTGTTTTATTTTTAAATTTATTACTAATTAAGAGTTTTGGAATAGTTTTTTAAATATTAATTTTATGATTATTTATAATGTTTTAATTTTAAAAACATTTTTTAGAATAAATCTTAAAAACGGACAACACAAACAAATTATTTAAAAAGATAAAATAAGTTATGAAATTTGAAAAATGATATAATATTAAAAAAATTATAAACGTTTATGAGAATTTAATTTTCAAAATAATTTAATAAATAAATTATGACTTAATATGTAGAAGATTCTCATAACGTACAGATTTTATAATTTCGGTTTGCAGAGCATATTTTTCGTTTTTCATCCTTGTAATATAAAATTTAATTAATAAATTAAATAACACCAAATTTTGTTTATGATAAGCAAGTTAAATACGAGAATGGTTATTTAAAAGTTTTAATAAAATATGAGAAGCACTTAAGTTGTGGTTTTTATCCAAATAGAATATATTTTGAAGCATGATAGAGGGTATTTTTACTTTATGAAATTCTCAAACTTCAAATCGGAAGGAAAGATAGGATGTTGATGAATGAGGCATCTACATACCTGATTTCAAATTACTTTTCCAATATTCACACTTGTTGAGGAAGCCAAAAGGAATAAGATTTAGAGTAAGTAACTCTTGTAATAGTTTTGAAGAGTTGAAAGAAAAATATTTATATTTAAATTATTCTTTATCTTTATGTGAAATTACTAGAATATTGGAACAATGTTTGCAACGAGGATTAAAGGATTTTTTATCCTGCAAATGTGTTAATTTAATATGCGGAGATAAAATTATTAAAATTTTGATATAGTTTTTCCTTGAAAGACATATTAATGTAAAATTATTAAATTATCAAAAAGATAAAAAATGAATTAGAAAAAAAAACAATATAATTATATGCATACATATATATATATATATATATATATATATATATATATATGGGTTTGTTAACATGCATAAAGTCTTTTTTTTAGTTGATATATTTTAGTAATGTATACCGGATTTTAGTAGACAAAAATACTCTGATGTATTATGAATTCTAAGTTTTAAAATCAAGGGTATTTAAATAATTTTTATTCTCAAAACTATAAAAAAACAAGAAATTTTCCAAACCCTTATTCCTCTCAATATTTTCTCTTTCATCTCTCTCACTATGTTTGTTCATTTGTTTTCCACTTTAATAACAAAATAATTAATGATATTGATGTTGATTTTTGATTGGACGATTCTGTTATATCTTTTTCCTTTTGATTGTAATTAAATTAAATTTAAAAATTAAAAAAAAATTGTATTTAAGTAAAGTTAAATAATTATGTTTAAAATTTAATTTTTTAAGAATATAATTTATTATTAAGTGGTATAATTTTTTTTGTTTTTGAAGTCAAATTTAATATTTATGATCAACCAGATAATGAAGTGAAGTTACAATATTACCTAACCTAAAAAAATGTAAATACATTATAAAGTTTAACTATGTTTATCATAATTCATAACAAAATTTTTTTGTTTATGTAAGTAAACAACTTATTCAAGTGGTATTGTGTCGACATTTCTATTAGATATCGTGTGTGGGATAGACGTGAAAATAGAAATTCAAAATGCATTAATTTTAAAGTTGATGATTAATAAAAAACCATAGTATATTGTTTCTTTTATTATGTTCTAGGTTGATGATGTATAATGTTTCTTTCATGTTTCATGTTTCATGTTTCATGTTTCATGTTTGGTTTGTAGTGTTTGATGTATTCATTTGTGTCTTCCAAGAAGGATAGACAAATTTAACTTATAGACACACATCAACACTTGTTCTTTTCAAAATAAGTTTCACTGGTATAAAAAATATTTTTTATTATACTGATTATAATCTACAATCTACAGTTATAAAAAGTGATGTCGTAGCAATTTTTTTCTTTAATTTTTCTTAGTGGTCCGAAAAACTATAGGACATTTTCTTCTTATAGATTTATGTATACTTTTAGTTGTTAAGACTATTGTCATGTACTTATGTTTTAGCTTTGAATCTTATTTTTTAATTTATATTTTCAGAAAAAGATGATTGATAAAGAGATGAATGACATGTTGATGCTTATAAGAGAAGTTGTTATTATATTGATTTTGGCCCCAACCACTATAAAAAAAAATTATATCAATTCAAGAATTAATATAAAAAAAAACGAAAATTTTTTATACTAGTTTTAAAATTGATATAAAAATATTTTTAACTTTGTATAAAAATAATTTTTTATACCGGTGTTTTTATTGGTCAGCCATTTAATGAATTACTCTAACTCTATATATAATAATGAATTAATAATCATAAGTTATTGAAATCTTGTTTCATTGATGTGCATCTATAAAAATGGAAACAAAGATATGAATAACTCATAAAAGTTATAAGGCAACATGTCTTTCCCAAGCAAGATGAATTCCGTGGGGGGCACTGTAGAATCATTTAACAGCACAGGGAAGGGGAAACAAAATTTCGAAAATTCCAAGATTAGAAGTGGAGCAATAATCCGTAACCCACATCCTGGCTCTGTTTCCTCTGTAGGAGGAACTCTATGCTCCTTTCTCCAAGATGGTGATGGTGATCAGAGTTTTGCTGGTGCTGACATTCAGAGTGGAGGTAACATATTGTTTTAATATATATTATTTTGGTGATTTTTTTTTTATTCATGGGACTTATACTTTATGTTGAGATTATTTTTAGATTTTCATAATTTCATTAGTTGTCTAACATCTCATTTTTCTCTTCTTACTGCCGTGTCTCTTCTTTTGCTGTATTCTGTACCCTTCTCCAGTCCAAGGTACATGTCATTCTTTTGAGATTATGTTCTTGTTTGATGCATGTTTTACTTGTCTTCTTGTGTTTCTGAAAACTTACTGCTATATTATAACAGAAGAAGTACTCTGATTAATGCTTTTCTGTTCTTTTTTTAAGAGTTGAATAATGAAAAGGATGAAGACGGTACTAAGGATTTATGGGCACAGTTGCAGAAAATAGGTGTTGAAGATGATTCCTTGGGAGTTGTATACTGGTACCTTTTTAACAATCCTACTGCTTTAAAAGGTTTTAATGGTGTTCCAATTCATGAGCGCAAGAACATGTTACCTATCATTGTGCCAAACTATCAACCCAAGGGATCTAATCGGAATGTTAAGGTACATTACACTTATCAGCTGTTTTTTGTTCTTGTTATTTAGAACTTCTCCTATTCGTCATGTTTATTTTTTGTTTTAATGTTTTTGATACAATCAATTACGTATAAAAACAAATTAAGTATATATATAAATACTTTGTGAACAAATTAGACTTAAAATAAAATATAATTCTTAATACCATATGAGTTAGAATTTATCCTAAAAAAGAATTGTATTTGTTAGATGTATTATTTTATTTTTTATGAGATCATCTATTTATTTTTAGTTTCACGTATAAGATATATACATAAATGTGAATGAGTGTGTTAGAAATTTTATATTAATTAAAAATAAAAATAATTTAAAATATATATTAATAAAATTTGTATTTTAAAAACTAATTTTATAGGATTAAATTAAATTTAATATTCAGTTTTTAACTATTTTAAATTGATCATGTATTTTTTTTTTTTCAGATAACATAGCTACTTCGAAAGAAGTTCACATGAAGAAGTGCTATGAATAAAACTTGAAGTAAAGTGCTACTATATATGTATGTGGGTAACCTTTGTCTCTTCTGCATGTTGAAGCCAGGGGCTTCTTAATTAACTTCTTTTGGATGTATCTTATTATCATAAAATTCACTTTTTATATTGAAAGTGATATTGAAATAAAAGCAGAATTTACCTTTTAACTATTTAGTTAATAATAATTTGTTGAAATACTTATTGAAAATGTATTTTTTTAATTAGTGCTATCATCAAATGTACTTCTTTCAAAAAAAGAAATTGAAAATAAAAAACTGAAGTTTTTTTTTTAAGGGTACAATCTTGCGCTCTATAAAAACCATAGTTCATTGTCGTTTATTTTCAAATAAATTAATAAATAAAATGAATCAAGATTTTAATAAGTTATAAAATGAAGTAGCTCTTAAAAATAATAGGATGAGAATAATAAAGTCCATGTAATCAGTTTTCTTTTTCACAATTTGTTCTTCATACACTTTTTGTTCCTTTTAAATGGTAATGTAATTATTTGAAAAGGGGATGCGGAAGGACAATTTTTAGTAATCCGAAATGCCGAAATATTATCCAGAATCGCATTTAAAAATGTAATTCTTTTACCAACGTCATTTCTTTGTTTTATATTATTTTATAATATTTACTGTAAAATACATATTTTTGCCATTAACAACGAATAACTCGAAATGTGGTTGATAAAACTTTTTTTACATAATAATTCTAGAATACCTATTTTCAATGAATTTTGAGTTTACTTTTTCATCATTAAGAATTTCAAGAAAAAAAAGAAAAAGGATAGAATAGGAGGAGAAAGAAAATGGACAGTAAGAACGACAGAACATACTTTTCTGTTTTTAACACATGACCAGTTAAACATTTTACATTTTTAAAAAAAAATGCAATCTAAAATATATTTCATATTGTTGTCTTATATCGTTGTCTTATATCTTATGACTGAAATTTAAAAGTTTTTCTTTTCATTTTTTTGAAAAACAATTTTTAAAAATAAAATCATGACAAAAATTTATATTTTAAAGTGAATATAGTAATTATCCTTAATAGTTTATTATCTTAATAGATTGATGTGGTATATATAAACAAGAGTTTTCTTAACCCTTAATTAAATTAAAGGTTTCATCCTAACAATTACTTTGAAGTTGGAATATATTACATAATTATATAGTATGTTATGACCAGTCAGCACAACATAGATCAATCGTCACTGTCAACATCAGTGATCAATTTGTATTTCGTATATTAAAACAATATTAAGATAATTAGTAAAGTAAAACGTGTTTATAAAATATTGGATCAATCCTAAATAAAAAGTCCACTTCAAATCCTATAAATACAAAGGTGTGATAAAGAGATAAATGATTATATTTATTGGACATTTAAGACTTATATGTAATAATCGATCAAAATAATTTAAATGTCAATGTGTCTTTAGCTATTTTGAATAAACAATAACAATGAAATTAATATTTAACTATTTTGAATAAATTATTTTAATAATTCAACAATACATTTTTAATTATGACTATGAAGCAAAATAGTTTAAAATATATTTGAGAAGAATTCTTCCACATAATTTTGAAATATATTAGAGAATTCCACAAACGTAAAATTAAAACCTTAAAAGGAACTTATCTCAAGTTTTTAAAATCTTACAGAAAATTTGTTCAGAAAACATAGTCACACCCTTTTTCCTTCATGTACTTACTCATTCTCAAAATCAACCAATATGTTCTCTTAATTGAAAACCTAATTTATTTCCCTTCCTAAAAACTTTCGAAAGAGTACATTCTGGAAGCTTTTAAAAAAATCGGAAAAAAGTTTAAGATTTAAAATTCTTAAAGTTTATGGAATAAATATTTTTAAATTGTTCATGATATTTCTGAATAAAAAAGTTTACTGTGTAACACATCCAAATAATTAATGTAGAATAGTTAAAAATCAATTTTAAATTATTATTTGAGATGATGTGTCCGATTCCCATTGAGAAATATATTTTTTAAGAATTTATACAAGGAAATTTATTTAATAAATTATCGGAAAGTATTTTCTTTTTTAAAATTTACAAGTATTGTAAAAAGTCAATTTTTTTTAATTACAATGCAGCGGGAGGTGCACACAGAAAATATGAGGTTGTTGAATCACTTGCCTTAGAAGACTGGGCAGAGAATATGAAGCCCGTGTTATCACTGTTTAGACGTTGATGGCAGGCCCAATAACAGCCCAGAATACTGAGAATACGAAACAAAAAGTGCGAGTGACCGAGCGAGTCTAAGTTCTCTCTCTCTCTCTGAATCGTTTGAGTGATCGCTGAGATCTGAATCTATCTATGGCGACACCGGACCACCTGTTCAACCTCCGCAACAATTTCTACCTCGGCGCCTACCAAGCCGCCATCAACAGCAGCGACGTCTCCAACCTCTCGGAAGAAGACGCCCTGGAGCGCGACACCCTCGTCCACCGCTGCTACATCGCCCTTGGCCAGTTGCAGTTCGTCATTTCCGAGATCCATGACGATGCTCCCACTCCTCTCCAAGCCGTCAAACTCCTCGCCCTCTATTTCTCCTCTCCCGACACCAAGGCATGCCTCCTTCATTTTCTCCTCAATTTCTCGTCTCATCCATCTCATCTCCTCTCCTCTCGAAAATTCGCAGGACTCTGCCATCTCCAGCCTCAAGGAATGGCTCGCGGATCCCGCCATCGGAAACAACCCCACTCTCAGGCTCGTCGCCGGTCTCGTCTTCCTCCACGAGAATGATTTCAACGAAGCACTTAAACACACCAACGCCGGAGGGACCATGGAACTGTATAACTCTTCTCTCTTTTTTCTCTTGTTTTTATTTTAATTATGTCGTTTCGTTATTGTAATTGTTTTTGTGTTTTTTTTTTTGCTTTCAGGCACGCATTGAATGTTCAGATCTTCATTAAGATGCATAGGTCGGATTACGCGGAGAGGCAGCTGCGGATCATGCAGCAGATTGATGAGGATCACACTCTCACTCAACTGGCCAATGCGTGGCTCGATTTGGCTGTGGTATTAATTAATTAATTAATTTATGATAGTTGTTGTGATAAGAAATTAGGAATTATAATTGTTGGAGATGTGATATGTGATCAAATTCAAGTACGAAAGTGATAGATTCTTCTACTTTCAAGCTGATTATGTAAGATTGAGTTAGGATTAACAGCTAAGTAGAATAATAGTAAAAGAGTGATGAAATTTGGTGTTTCATTGATGGGTTTGGCCGAATGGTGGTGGATCAGGGAGGGTCGAAGATTCAGGAGGCGTATCTGATATTCCAAGATATGTCGGAGAGGTATCAGTCCACCAGTTTGCTTTTGAATGGCAAGGCGGTTTGCTGCATGCACATGGGCAATTTTGACGAAGCAGAGACCCTTTTGGTTGAAGCGCTGAACAAGGCACGTTTTACGTACTGTTTTTATTCTATGAGTGTTCTCTTCCATGGATTTGACATTATAATTGACTTTTTTTTATTGTGTTTATGATTTATAAGTTTTTAACTTGCTGAGTTATTTTCCTAGAATTTGTAATTGTTATAGGCAGACACACCATTTTTGGGGAGTATTTAGGGGAAGTTAGAGAGAAATAGAAACATGAGGAGAAGGAAGAGGGAAAAAGTGATACATGTGATTAAGCTGTTGTTCTGAAATGGCATTTCCATGGTTGATTTGTTGTTTTGGAATATGAGTGATGAAAATTTGTGTGGCTTATACAGGATGCCAGGGATCCTGAAACGCTAGCCAATCTAGTTGTATGCTGTCTTCACCTTGGCAAGCCATCTAACAAATCATTCAGGTACTTGTTCCGCCAAAACCCTTTTCTTCTCTTACATTTAATAGTTATCACTTATGTGTATTGAAAATATCCTATTGGGTGGAATAATGTCGAATATGCTAGGTGTATTTTTGTAGATGGAGTTATGCCTTCCTAACTTGTTAAAAAATTTTCACAGCTCTTAAGTTTTAAATGGTGGTATTTTTTGAATGAGAGCTCCAAGATCGTCACAGATGATGGAGCAATGTCTTCAATCCATGTCTTCATTCTTGTTAAAAGCCGATGAATACAGTGCTAGAATTTATATGAATTCGGTATTGAACCAATCAATATTCCATGGATCACGGATTTTAAATGCAAACTTCACCATGATTCTTAGTTTGGCTTGTTTCTCCCCCAATTTGGAGTGTCTAACCTTATCAACAACATATCAATACTGAATTTCTCACACTCTTAACATAGCCTTTAACAGCTAAAGTAATTAGTGAAGTTAACATCAGCTATATGAAAGAGAGAACATGAATTGGCCTCAAATATGAATTAAATTTAGTAACTGTTGGAGATCTTTTAAGAGTAGCAACTGAGTAGTGCAAGTTCAAATAGTAAAATGGTAATATCATAAGTCCAAAACTTTAATAAAATATATAGAAAATGCACAACATGTTAGAAATACACAATACAGATTTGTTCAATTTAAAGGGTTGCATAATGTCGTTCAAAACTATTTTGGAAGTGAACATTGAGCAACCCTTAATCTAAAAGAAAGGTGATTTTAAACATTTCAAGTGTATTGACAAAAATACTGTTATTTACATTTTGAAATTCGATATTACAAGTAAATTAATTTTTGAAACTTCTTTCTTCCTCTGCCCTGTGTTGAACTAAACAGTTCCTAACTCCAAATTCCTTTGTAAAAATAGCTTGCATCTTCAATCTGTTGTTGTGACGACATTCCTTAACTTTTAATAACCTATATTGCTTGAAGTCTTACGGTGATTAGAGACAAGATTAATTTATAATATGTAAATAAGTGTAAACCTCGTCTTACAAGCCGATTTTGTGGGTTGAGTTAGGTTTAAACTTCACTTTTTAACATGGTATTAGAGTCATAGTTTAAAGCCTATTCTAACAAGATTTGTGTTTGTTGGACATGTTCCACTCTCGGACTACTCATTAATTTCTAATCATTGAGATATATACACCTTAGGGTAGTGTGTAGGAAGTCTCACATCACCTAGAGATAAGATTAATTTATAATATATAAATAGATTAAAATTTCATTTTATAAGTTGATAATGTGGGGTTAAGTTAGGTTTAAAGTCCATTGTTTAAAATGTATATTTTTACAAGTGACGTTTCTTATTTGATTGAATGTCCCGTTGTACTTCTGGTTTTGTGCTTTTCCTTTTGAATTTATTCCTTGCCTTCCGTTTGTCACTTGATCTGGTGGTATTTCTCATTCTTCAAAATCTTCTCCCGTATATTTTTTTAACGATGTATTTGACTTGTTTTGCTTTGCAGCCAGCTGAAACTTTCTCACGCAGATCATGTACTCGTCAAGCGGGTAACATCAGCTGAAGAAAGTTTTGATAGAGCGCTACAAACATTTTCTTCATGAGTCGATTATTCAATTTCTTTCGGGAGTTGAATGGTTTGTGGTCTTCCATGCAATTTTTACACCTTGTCGTGGCCATTGTATTGGGTTGCGTATATTAGAACATAATCAACTGGGTAATGTGGCATAGTATTCAAATTTATAACATTGGTTTACTGAGTCTTGATGTTGTAAAAGCTACATCTGACATTAAGCAAGTTCATTTACATCGTATATTTTACTAAAAGAGCAAGAAATGCCAATAGGTATTTTTGAGTAAACAAGATCACTGTTGTGTGGATGGATTGGCGAAGCTGTATTCTATTCTATTTTATCCGAAGTTTTGCATTCTTCTATTTGTATCTCTCATCTCAAAATAAAAATAGTGGTGAATTAGGTATTTACCTACTAAATTTGAATTTTGACTTAGATTTAAATTGAATTTGCATTCCTGCTATATTTGGATAGAATTGAATATTGGTTAATGTGTTTTAGTTTGGACATTATCCATAATAGACGATACACACGGTAGACTGTGGTTAGTTAATTTGCAGAAAGTGTGATAAAAACTAATTGTGTTCTTTTGTAGTGAATGTGACAGTTTTTATGAGCAATTGATGACTAAAATTTGTAGTATTAATAATATTCATGGAGGAATACCACTGACACCAAACGAAAATATATTCATTATATATTGTTGTTGATTGTCGGATAATGCACATTTAAAAGTTATCTTTACTCTGGTATTGAGTAGTTGGAAAATTTCAATAGTTTATTTGCTTAATATATATTTTTTAAAACATTTTATTGTACTAACACCAAGTTTTAAAAGGTTTATTAAAATGATAACAAATCGTTTTATTTAATAGAGATGTTTAAAATTTAAATTTTAATAAATTTATTTTGAATATACAACAAATTACGTTGGTTTTTGTTATTTTTTGTTAAACTCTAAGTAGTGTCCCAATATTTAAATTTTTATTTATTTATTGAGATGCATAAAGATAATTGTTTTTCGATTATTTTGTATACTCATTATTTAGAAAATAATAATTTTTAAGTAGACCTTAAGTAATTTTAGATACTAGTTAGTAAGACTGTGACATATTTTTAGAAAATGATTTTTTTTGTAGTTATTTTGTAGAAAACAGTCATTTAATTTATGTCATTATGATTATGCCAGTGTTACATCAATTAATGATGTCATAGTTATATGTTACATCAATTAATGATATCATTAAATTAACAAAAAGAACGTTTATTCTTTCTATCTTTTATTATAAGAAAGGCTTGAAAGAAAAAAATTGTTTATCCTTCTAATAAATTATTCTATAATTGTTGAACTTTTTATTTATTTTTCTTGTTTATTCTAAAAACGTCGCAGTATTATGATACCATTTCATAACATCATTACATAAAAAGTACCATATTGTAGACATTTAACATAAAAAAATTTAGAACAAAAATAAAATATAATAGATAAATAAAAACCTATAATGATATTGGAGACGACAAAATTGAGTCTCCTGAACAAGTGTTTTCGTTTGTGACCAAAAACAAATTGTTAAAAGAAAAGAAATAAAATAAAATAAAATGAACATAATATGGGCAAAGTTAATTCCTGGGGTCGAGTTGTTCCAAGAAAACGAGACAAAAAGAGCAATTACATAATTTGAGATTGAATCACTTTATTTGTGTTTTTATGCGCTATCTTTAAACTATATGAATTTTAATGTATTAATATATATATATATATATATATATATATATATATATATATATATATATATATATATATATATATATATATATATATATATATATATATATATATATATATATATATATATATATATATATATATACACATATATAATATTTAAAATATAAAAATTCTTATATTTTAAAAACATGTATTTAATATATTAAAAAATATCAAAATCGTTACATTTTAAAGACATGGAAGAGCATCAAAACCAAAAAATTTAAAATTCGTATAAACCTTTCATCTGCATCGTGTTGCAGATTGCAAAATCAGATCATCATAGCATTTAAGAGACCAACTCATCACAATTTTTATAACTAATAGCACTTCTAAATTATTCTTTACATTTATATTTAACTGTAAATTTTTGAAGTTAAAAATAATACTGATTATTACTTTTATCTTTCACTCAATTCTTAATTAGTTTATATATATTTTTTAAATATTACAAATACAATTACCTTTTGAAATGACTTATTATAAAATAATTCAACATTTGAAAATAAAAAGAACTATTCCAACTAATTCCATGATTGCATATTATTTGGTTAGGTGAATGCTGCAACTGAAAACATTATCATTATTGACTGATTGTACGTCGAATACACATGTAAGTATAACGAATGAACTAGCAAACTCCCTAAGGACAAAAAATGTAATGGTGAGGCTCATGATGAGAAGAACCTCAGATTGCAGATGAAATGCCATAGCCATTACGATGAGATTTTTGCCATTTCCATGCAGTCTGTAAGCTCTTCTCAAGGTCAGTGTATTGTGCAGTCCAATTCAGTTCCAAGTTTATCTTAGAAGGGTCACTATACACTTCTGCATAATCACCAGGTCTACGAGGAAGAAAGTCCACTTTGATGTTCACCCCTGTCGCCTTTTTGCATGCATCCACAAACTCCTTCACTGATCTACCTGGTAAATTATAAACCCCTTTTGAGAAATATGTGGATTTCCATCAAAACATTATTTTTTCATATTCTCAGTGTAATAAAAAACCAACCTTTTCCAGTGCCAACATTGTAGATCCCTACTTTCCCAGGTTGTACCTTTTCAAGAGCCTTCACATGAGCATCCACCAAATCGGTCACATCAATGTAGTCTCGTATGCATGTTCCATCCGGTGTCTTGTAGTCAGTTCCTCTAACCTGCATGATGGAAACAGATACATACATTCAGTAAATGTTCATTGCAGTTTACAACAGGACACTCTAGTGATGAAGTATGATAAGATTACTTGAAGGTGAGCTTAGTTTATAATCCTTTGAACTTATTAGTAATATATTAACAAGGATAATTTATTCTTTGCTACTCTCTCATCAACTCATATCAAACCTCAAGAAAAGGGTATAGTTGAATACGAGAGGATTTGACCATCACTGAAAATTAAAACAAAGCTGGCCTCCTTGACAAGATGCATTCATCTAGTAGGCATTTGAGTATGCATGGCCTCCTTGACAAGATGCATCAAATGTAAAGAAATTCTCTTTCATCCAAAAGTAAAAGTGATAGTCTTGACATACCTTTAAGCCAGTTGTAATACCACGAGCTGCATCAAAGCAGGCACCAGAAATTCGACCGTGTTCTCGAAGTTCAGGTCTTGGAGCCTCACCTAATCTGCCCTCCGGATCTGATCCAATCACATTGAAGTATCTACAAATTTCACAGGGTAAACAGAAATCACAACCATACCAAATTCTAAACAGTTATATTTAAATCAAGTGGATTTGCTATAAAGGGCACACATTCAACAACAATAAGCAATTTAAAATAAGGGGAAGTCAGATATGCAAACGTAAGATACATACCTCAGAATCATTACTGCCATTTTAGAAGTTTTAGAAAAATCAAGGATGATATCTTCTGACATCTTCTTGGCTTTTCCATATGGATTAATTGGTTTCTGGAATTGAAGAGCATAATGGTAAGACTACATTCCCATGTGTTAAAGTCATTGCAAGATGTGCAACGGAAATAAAAATTTCTTAACCAAACTCATCATTCAACCACACTTCAGATTTCCCACCTGTTCTGTTTCTTCTGTAATGGGCATCTTTTCAGGTTCCCCATATGTTGCACATGTACTAGAATATATTAATTTCTTCACTCTGTATTTAGCCATAGACTCCAATACCAACAAGGTATTTGATGTAATGTTGTGATAATACCTGACGAAGAAAAAGTGTTAAAAAAGGTAGAACTAGAGTTCCCAGTTCTTCTACCACTAGAGTTAATGTCCCTGAGTAAACGATATAAGAACTTACTTAAGAGGGTCAAGTGTGCTCTCTCCCACATACGCAACAGCAGCAAAATGCATCACAGCATCGAATTTATTCTCTGAAAATATTTTATTCACCTAATAACCAGTCAAGTAGACAACTTTTCTTGGGAAATCTATAACATTGTGCTTCAACAAAGAGTTTAAATTCAACGCCAAATCATTTCTTAATAAGGAAAGATTATAAGGATACAGATTCTTTATCTCCCAAGTCTGCGTATATAAATTGAAGTCTTCCAGGTTCCGGAAATAATTCTTGAAGAACCCTCACGGCACCCAAATTGCCACGTGATAGATTATCCTGCAAAGAAGAAAAACTGGTTAGCAGACAGAACGGTAAATGCATTCAAATTTATCAGAGCAGCTTTTGGCATTATGAAGAGGCACACCACTATGGTGACACGATAGAAATCTCTCAGAAGTCGTAGGGTAGCATGCGAGCCAATATAGCCTGCACCTCCTGTCACTAAAACATGAGTGACACCTGGTTCATGGATGGAAAACTGAAAAAGGCCCCAAAAACAGAATAGTCATCAAATTGAATAAAATGGTAAAATAGCAATCGATTTACATATACAAAACATAACAAAGAAAAGGTAGAAAACTATAACTCAAAACAACATATCTTCAACAATTTTTCCCTTATCATTTCTTATTTATTAAAAAATTCTTTCTTTCTTATATCCATCTCACACCATTCGAAAACAACAAAACAAACATTCACAAGCTTCATTGTTCTTTAATTTGATACAGTAAAAATAGCTCATCATATCTATCAATTCATCGCCACTTCAAGCTATCTTTCGGTAGTAAAATAATCAAACAGTCAAAGAAACTATAAATAAGTTTTCTATATGTCAAATATAATTACAATACAACAAATAACTCTCAGAACAAAAGGCACTATAATGGAGTAAACCTATAAGTGGCATAATCATTCTAAGAAATCAAATAAATTTTGAGAGATCATTTCTCTCACCACCAACCAGTCAAGAAGAACAATTCAATAATAGAAACTAAACTCACAGGTCTAAGAGAATGTATAGCATCGTCCTTCACGTTTCATTCAGTCATTTGAGTATTTATGAACAAATGTATTAAATAAAATACGTACACAGATAATAGAAAGTATAACATATAAATATTCAAACATACATATATACATAATTGACTATGATAATCATGAGTATTTCATGGGGTAAGACAATGTAGGATTACCGGACTAGGGGGATTCAAAGATGGAGATCTTTTGATCATGATTATGCATAATGCCGTTAATGCTGCAGCAAGAAAAATCTTCCCAACATAATTGCTCTTCCTTTTTGGATCCACATAATCCATGCCTGAAATGAGCATAAAAACATATATCTTAAAACATCAACTTAGTTATAATGATAAATATAATGAATCATGAGAAAACAACCAAGCATAACAAAATTACAGCACTTTGTCAAATAATGAATTTAAAAATACTCGTTTCCAGCCAATTCGATGTTGAAGTGTTAGAAAAGGCAAAGCTTTTCCATTCATATGTTGAAATTGATTAATGCTTTAAGTAACCAAAGCTTCATTGCATAACAGAGTCATACCACTATTTCTTCTCAATTATAAAATCTTACCTCCCAAAGACATAGATCTGGTTGACCTTGGCTGACTCCTGGTCCTAGAAAAATTTAGCATTTGCAAAGTTAACAAGGTCTGAATCCCTCAATACAATTGACCATATCAAGCTCCACTTCTAGAATGATTCGAGTGATATGCTGCAGCGAAAATCAGATCATGTAAGTTTATTTTTCTCTGAAAGAAGGCGTCAAAACAGCCCTGAAGAAGTTCAGACTGAAAACCAGCATAACAAAAATCAGACAAACAAATAGCCCTTCAAAAGGGTAAAATAACAAGTTTTGTTTGTGTAAAAATTTGAAAGGTCAGAAGAAAAACATGAAGACCACAATAAAAATAGGAAAAAAGGATTAAAAAAGTTCAGAAACTAAACACCACAAAAACTAAATAAAGCAAAAAAAATACAATCCCGCCAATTCACCAATAAATTCAGCTATTCAAGACTACAGAGAATGTGAGAGAGAACGTATCCAGAAATGAAAGATCCGGAGAATTCCAGAAGAATAAAAACGTCGTAAGATAGAAAGTAAACAAGAAAGGCTAAATATTGCTCACAGTGATAACATGTTTTACCACAAAAGCAACATTGGAAACGACATGCACATAAAAATCTGTCAGAGGGTCACGAGGGATGAAAACCCCACAAAACCACTTTAAGAAAAAATCACAGAAAACCAGAACAACATAGGAGCTAAAAAACAGCTTCAGAATTTCAACATCAAGATCCACCGCAACAGACAACCAAAATCAGCCTCGTCAGCCCAAGAAAACGTAGCCCCTGATCAACAATTCAAATTCAACAACAGACAAAAACCCCTTTGATTTCACATTTGCAGCATCACCAACTACCAGCCAGCCAACCAAGAAAATCAAGGACCAACCCAGATACTAAAACCCCATAGATTTGTCAGGGAAAAAAAAAATCAAAGCCCTTGAATAGCACAAGACGAGCAGAATTGAGCAACAAAACCATCAGAACAGTTGCTTCTTTTTTAAAAAACAAGGAAATAAAAAACAAACGAAAACAAGAAAAGAAAAGGAAGGGGCACCGCAAACACCAAACCTTATTGAGTTGCCCAGAAGCGCAGAAGGCCTTCAAATGTGAAAAAGAGCGTAAATTTAACGGTTGTAGAAAATTAGCAAAGTGGGAAATCTGGAAAAAAGAAAAGGAAGCAGCGGATTGAGGGCAGAAGACAGGGGAGTACAAAGAGAACGAGAAGCAGAAAAGTACAAATGAGGAAGGTGGTGGTAGGAAGAGGTGAATTTTGGGGTGGCGTTGAAATTGTGAGAGTGGGAGAGTGAGAAAGATAGAGAGAGAAGAATGGGTTCTAATAGGCTGCGCCTGCTCTGCATCCATGTTGTCAAAGCGTTACAGGGCATTCGAGACCGCAATGGTACAACCTCGTAGACTATATTTTATTTTTTCCTTTTATTGTTTTTCATTTTCTCATTTTCTTTACCAAATTATTTCGTTTCGTTTTGTTCTTTTCAAAATGTAGTCAGTGGAGACGGACATGAGATTTTATATTTTCCTCAATTTTTCAAACACGGCTAATTTAATACTTAATCTCTATGTAAAATAAAATATATTTAGTTACTATTTAGCTATTTTATAACGAGTTTTAGTTAATTACTATGAGAAGAATTAATCATCGCATGAAAAAACTATTTTTATATGAAAATTATAAAATTACAGTTTCAGTAAAAAAAATTACCTATTAAAAAAACATTATTGGAATCGTTTGTGTATCTAAATAATGTGTTTATTATTTTCTATTAAACATGAAAAACTGTGCTGCCTGATTATTATCTTTTAAATATTAAAACATTCCCCATAGTAAATTAAGTCATAAAAATCACTAATTGAATTTAGTTTGTGTGTATTATCAAGAATTTTGTATGCGTTGCAAAGATGCCTATAATATTGATTTATAAAATCAAGTCAAATACGAATAATAGTTAATATAAACATGAAAACAATTTTATTATATTCCTACTAATTTGACCATACATAACAGATCTTCAGAAATTCTTAAAAAATATTATAGAAGATATTATTGACAATTTAAACACAAAACAATGTAACTTTTGTGGTATATATTTTAGAGTTTTTCATAAACTGCTATCGTTAGTTTAACAACATATTTTAACATAATTTTAGGTTTGTATTTTAAAAACAATTTAGATGATTATTTATAAAATTAAATATACTCAATTAAAAAAAATTCCTTAAGTAAAGTACGATAAACTAGCCCTTCAAAATATATATATTATATATAACATTTTATACTCATATAAAATTATTTTACAGAAACTTATTTCAAATAAATGTTTTTAAGATTGGCAAATGTATCCATCCAAATGAAAACGGTTCTTAGTTTTATTCACACCAAAAAACATTGAAGTTGTTGGTTTGATTTCAAATTTAATTGGATTGGAAAGTATAAAAACATTATTAAAAATTAATAAATTTATGATTCTTTGAAAAGCACGTTTCGAGTATCCAATAATATTCGACCATTTGTTATGTACTTTTGCGCGAGGAACGCGGCACATTTTGTAAATGCCACTCATCTCACGTCACTGTTACACTTAAGTGGGGACCACATACTTTCTGTGGGACCCATCCATTGCTCTTTTTTATTCAGACAAAACTATTACGCTTTTAAAATCTATTTTTCAAATTAAAATTTTAAAAATCCACTAAATATATATAAAAAGTTTATACTTTCAAATTATAAATTTTAGAAAATTAAACATAACTTTATCACGAATATTATGAACTACAAATATAATAATTTAATTAAACATTTTACTAATCTTTATCCAATACAACTTTGATTTATTATGAGAGTTTTAAATTTTCATATTTTATATTCTTTCGACATTTAGTTAAACATGCGTTTTTGGATGATACAGAGATATATCAGTGACATGTGAATAGTATAATGGATTATTTATATGTTAATCTTATTGTATTTTCTGCAAATTTAATATATAGAAAAAAATAAAAATAAAAAATTTAATTAAAAAAACTTTTATAATATGTTTTAATTATTATCAAAATCGAAATACAGAGCTTAATGTTTAAAAATATTGTTTATTTTTAAAGGTATCAGGCTTTTGTTATTAGAACTCAAGTTTAACACCTTTATAATTAAAGTTATTATTTAATTTTATAAGTATTAGATTTTGATTCCATTAATACCTTTAAAATTTAATATTTTGTTTAAATCATAAAGAATTTAGACTTTAGTTATTATGTGAAGTAAAGTCAAATCCATATTATTTTATTATTTATAATTTCATATTTCATAAAGTAGAATAAAATATAATAGCAATTTTATGTTTTGGTTCGAAATTAAGAAATTATTATTATTTATCTGACTTAAATATGCTTCTTCGACAGTGGAATTAAAATTCAATATTTAAAATAAACAGTGCCAAAAACTTTTTCTATCTGGTACTTTAATTATTTCTTAAAGTTATTTTTTAGTCTCAGTTTTCCTAAATGCATTATATATAAATTATACAGAGAGAAAAGAGTGGCAGATATTTTAAGAACAATAATTTCAAATTTATAATTTAAAAAAAAAAATCAACCATGCCTTCTCATTTATCACTCCCGGATAAAGAGATTGAAAAATTATGTTTCTAAGAGAATAAGCACTCCTTTAAATTAATATAGACACTTTTGATTCAATTCAAGCTTTTCTTCTCCTTTTTTTTCCACCTTCGGTGTAGAAATTAAAGCATCTTAATTAGATTTAGATTTTGATAACTATTATATGTCATCCACCGCCAAAAATAAGAAATCCTGATAAATATATACAACAAGAAGAAAAAACAAGTGAAAAAATTAACAAAAATAAACATTTAAATTTCTTTTTCTGTACTATTCCAAAGTGGAATAAAAAAGGACAAACAAATGAATAAAATTAACAATAAAAACATTTTTTTTTCTGCAACGGTTACTTCTTAACAATACTCATAGCATATTTCAAATGCAAATATGAAATATTTTGTAAAAAAAAATTAGGTCCCTTTGAGTAAAAAAGAGATACGAATTGTGTAGTTCTCATAATTCACCATAATAGTGGGTGACGTCACCATAGGAAGAAGCACGATGGCTTTATTCCAATGGTTTTATGTTGTACGTTTGGATTCTTCCATTGACACTAAGTGGATGAGCTTAAAATAACTGCCACTTGAAATGGTTTTGAAGTAAAGAAATAATTAAATGCGATTGGGTAACAAATTAGGCACAATTTCATAAACAATAATCCATCAAATATATGTGTCGTGAAAAGATTGAAGACTCGTGAACTTTTGGTTGGTTTAGTTCCATTTTAAACCAACTCATCAAAACTAAATAACAATCTCCCCAAAAAATCTCATTTGATTTTCGTCTCATTGGTGAGACGTAGTTAACCATTGCTATGACATTGAAACCAATTTAGAAAAAGATATATACATTTACTCACCAACTAATCTTCCTCAACGTTTCTTCTACACGTAACTTTCTCTCTTTAATTACCCTATTTATCTTACCAAATTAGAGCATTTTTATTGTGGAACTCTTTAAGTCAAAGGTTCAAAACAGTGTATTTTTTTTTATGATTATTGTTAATGTTGACTATTTTGTTTAAAATATCTTAGAATATTGAGAATCCTGAATTATACATTATTTAAAAATAATTATTATTATTATTGTACACATATAAACAAATTAAAGCAGCTGAAATGTCATTTTGTTTAGGACAGCTAGCTTGACATTTTGTTAATTGGTTTAATATTTGAAAATTTGTCATGGGAATATTTTGTTCCTATGTGTTATCTTTGTTTTGTATAAATATATTTTTCTCTTGGAAAACCATTTCTCCACATGCTTCGGCCTCCACTTTTTCTACCACATTATTAAATCAACCTTCCACCAATTATTTTTAAAGAAAAGTCAAACAAAAAAAGTTATATAAAATGTTTGGTTCCTAAATTCTAACCTATCATTAAAATGCACGCCAACATTCTTTATATATTTCTACACAATTATTTTATGGCCTTTCCCTTCTCGAATTTTAAACACACAAGTAATAAATCTTAATTAGAAGAGAGAGAGAATAAAAAAATTGATAAATAAATGGAGAAAATTAAACAAAACATTCATTCTTCACCAAACCAGTATAACATTAAGTGCTAGAAATTAATCAATCCCGATAAACAAAAAATACGTACCCCCAATTTCAGTATTTTTCATATATATATATATATATACATACATACATACATACATACATACATACATATATATATATATATATATATATATATATATATATATACATATATTATTGCATAAAATAATATATACTTACGAAAACGATTTTTAAGGTGAGAACATATGATTCCACTTTATCCAGTTTTGAAGGAAAGCACTATGTAGGATATTGTGAAAACTGAAAAGAATTGTATATATGCATGCATGAATGTGAAACCATTAAACACGTGAAGAGTGAAATTGTCTGGTTTTGTTTTGTTTTCCGAAAATGTTTGGCACTGAGGAAGGTGGGGATTGTGCTACATATCCTCAAGATACGGCAAAGTCTTGCAAGTTTCCATTTTATACGTCATTGAGATAATATTTGATCAGAGGATTATGATTGTGTTGAATTATGGAATTTGGTAAGTGTTTGAATTTTCAATGGCTGTCTAACTTGGTGTGACTTTTCCACTCTAACAATCGAAAGAGACAACTCACTCGCTTACCACCTTGTACATAAAATATTATGTTTGAAGCTACTTCAACGTTAATCTTGGCAGAGTCTTGGTCAAACCATCTTTTCTTATTTACCAAGTTATTTTAGTTTTTCAGACTTTTTCCTCTTTGCTTCGACGTGCATGTAGGAAGACCTTTATCTACCGTCTATGGTAAGGAGATTGTGATTGTGGAACAAGACCAACTACTAAGTTGTTGCTATTTCTGTTACTTTTCTCTTCAATCTTACTTTCATACCAAAAAGGTTGTCATATACATCTATGTTATGTTTCCATATTAAAATTTTCATGGTAGGGTTATTCCAGTCAATTACATAACCCTATTTTATCATTCAACCCATTGATTTATATTATTGTAATATAGTTGTTTTAATTTTTAAGATATTATTTTCTATTTTATAGGTTAAAAAAACAAATTCTTCCGTCTTCTTTCATCGTGTTAATTATTTGGAATGACTTTCTCTGTAACTTATAGCAATTTTTCTACCTTGATGACCCAATTAGTCACACGGTTATAATAAAGTTTATTTAGATTTCCTACTTTAAAATGGAATAATATTATGCACTTAAATTGAAATAAAATCACAATTAAAAAGATGGAATGAAACCCAGTTTTTTTGTTGACCATGGAATGTGAGGTTTTAGGTTGCAATGCTTTGTTTTCATGAACAATAAGTCAAACAAACATCTTAATCATGGAAACACGTCTTTCGGTGGTTGAGTGAATTCAAATAAAAAAAATAAAAAATCGAGTACTGTTATGTTTTATAGTACATAATCATTAATAAATTAACAGTACAGAAAAATGTCACATTAATAGTCACGATCTAATCGAATATGGGATTAGGTTAAAAGAGATTATTAACATTCGATTAGGGCAAAATGCCATATTAATTTATTTAGTAAGAGGACCTGAATCTAACCTAAACTTGTCATATATTTTTGAAAAATAATAAAATTTTTATAAGTTAATTGTCTTACTTGAAATAGATAAAGGTAGCATATAGATATCATATTGTTTTTTTTTTAATCTTTGATCCAGAGAAATCAAAACCTAGCTAAATTAGAACAAGGAAAAGTTTGAATTGGAATCTAAAATTGGGCTGCTTAGTTTATTTTAGACAATTGTTAGGTGCACCTCTAAGATATCTAACTGCACCCTCATAATTTGAAAAACAACTATTCTGAATTGTCTGTTCTTGAACATCTTTTAGAATAAACACTCTATACTTTCTGGAACATGATTTATAAAATAATTTTTTTGGAACAAAATATTTAGAGTAAGTTTTTCAAAATATATGAAATATATTTTGTAATAAGATTTTCAAAATAAGCTTTCAGAATATATGAAATAATTTTTTTAATGAAAATTTTCTGAATAAATCTCTTAGAACAAACTTTTTATAATATATGAAATGTATTTGAAAAAGGATCTCATATATTTTGAAATCATACGAAAATGTTTTTGAAAATGAATTTCTTGAAACAAACTTTTTGAAGTATTTGATATTCATTCCGGAATAGAACACGTGGAATATATATGATATTTTCTAATCTAAACTTTTCGAATCAAATTTTCCACCAAATCATTACTCTCTCTTTTCTTCTCCTTTCTCGAAGAGGATGTTATAATTTTTTTATTGTTAATATGGGGGTGCAGGAAGAAAAGGCTTTTATGTAAAGCATTGTTTTGGGCTCTTATTGTGGCCCGTCTTTTGTGTTTTTGTCTTCGTGACAAAAAAAAAAACTAGTTTCTATGATACTGAATGTGCTGTAGGTTCTCTGGTTCCTCCGCCTTACCATCAGAGCACCTCTGGCGAAGTCGATTCCGGCGAGCGAACCGAGTTACCGTCAACGTCGCTGGCAAGGTATTACCATCTTATCCGTTCAATTCATTGTCTCTTATTTTGGAGCAATCAATAGTTGTTCACGCTGTGAACACACTGTCACAGATCCCTTATTTTTGAACTCGCAATTACGCTTAATTAGAGAAACAGAGCGGTTCCTATGCAAAACTCTTCTCGCAACACACAAATACTTATCCCTCTTTTCTCTCTATAAAAGGGAGGGTGAATGAAATTTGTGTATGATATTGGGGTTGTATGCTGGGTTCATTTTCATCCCTGTCTTACTTTTTTTTTCTCTATAGGAATGCAGATTCTTATCAAAGTAGAATATGGTTGTGTTGCGTTGCGTTGTGACTTATGTTTTACGATGGAACCATTGGAAAGAAGTTGTGCTCAATTATCCTCATTGTTAAATGTAACTAGCAAAGCCAGTGTTGATTTTGTTTTAATTATTGAAAGGGTGAACTGAATAATCATCAATTGATGCACTGGTTGTTGTTAATTTAAAACTTGTGTATTTAAATAGCACAGGAAAAATAAATATGAAATGCAGGTGAGTTCTGAAATATGAAGTTTTATGTGCTAGTTTGATGTATTTTATTGGCTATTCCGACAGTTCATTTAAACTTGGTGGTGTATCTTTTTTGGGGTATCAGGTTCATGCTGCTGAAACCTCTTTGACTTTTCCAATTAAGCATTTGTTTTACTGTGTCAATGAGAGGCAACATTGGAATAAGGATCCCAAACCCCACAATTTCAAATGCCACCAGAAGAACGCTAGTTGCATTTTCTACATCTTCAGGTTTTGGTGATGGCGGACGTGGTCGTGGTCGTGGAGGCTCCGTCCCTGGTTCAGGCCCGTTCAAGTTCAATGAAAGAGCTCCTGGTAAGCCTAATTCCAGTGAGCCCAAATCTGACATGACAGAGTCACCCATTCCTCCTGGTTCTGGTCATGGCCATGGCCGTGGCAAGCCAATGCCTCCGCCAGGTCTTCCTTCTTTCTCATCAATTTTATCTTCCATAAATCAGCCACACGTTGGTCGGGGCCGGGCTACTGTGCCCCACCATCAAAATGATTTGCAATCACCTGCTGGTCGTGGCCGGGGTATTGTACCTCAACCTCCAAATGATTTGCGGTCACCTGCTGGTCGTGGCCGAGCTACTTTACCTCAACCTCCAAATGATTTGGCGCCACCAGATTCTGGACCCAAAAATCCCATTTTATTCAAAAGAGAGGAAAATGCTTCTCCAACAACGAGAGATGGTTTTCCTATTGATGTTGAGCATGTTAACAAACTTCCAGGCAACATACTAGAGGTGTTGTCTGGACTTGGAAGGGGGAAGCCCATGAAACAGCCAGATCCGGAAACGCAAGTTAGAGAAGAGAATAGGCATCTTCGCGCTCGGCCAGCTCGTGGTGCAGCTGCCTCTGACACTTTGCCTGAGAGACGGGCAATACCAGCCCGGGATGATGCAGTGAGGAATGCACGGAAATTTTTGTCACAAGGTGAGGATGATGGAAGTGGCACAGGAAGAGGAAGAGGGTTTAGGGAGAGAGGTGGGCTTGGCCGAGGCAGGGGCAGAGGAAGAGGCAGAGGTCGAGGCATAGGAAGAGGAGGGTTCAGAGGGAGGGATGTAGATGAAAGACTTGGTCGATTCAGGGATGCTGAAGATTCCTATGCTACAGGGTTATATGTCGGAGATGATGCATGTGGTGAGAAATTAGCCAAAAAGTTTGGGCCAGAGATAATGAATCAGTTAACTGAAGCATTTGAGGAGATGACTGATAGAGTTTTGCCATCCCCATTATACGATGAGTATTTGGATGCATTAGACATCAATTATGCCGTAAGTGGTTTCTACAGACATCTTTATTTATTTGTTGAGAAATAATTAAAGGTAGAGGAAATATAATTTTGTAGTTTAGTTGCAGCCAGAGAAATTCTCCAGTCTTAATTGAATTGCTATGGGGAAACTCATTATAATCATCCAATTCTCAAGATCTAAAGATATAATTTCTCTCGAGGAAATTTCTTAAGGCGAACTTCTATTTTCTGTTTAGTATACATGTTTCAGTGTTTAATTGTTTGTATTCTCTCGGCTTCTTTATTGATTATTGCAGATTGAATTTGAGCCAGAATATTTGGTGGAATTTGATAATCCAGATATTGATGAGAAGGAACCAATTCCACTTCGGGATGCACTTGAGAAGATGAAACCATTCTTGATGGCATATGAGGGAATTCAAAGTCAGGAAGAGTGGGAGGTATATTATGTTGTTAATTGCATAGGTTTTAGGGCGCAAGTTTTGATACCGGCGTTCCTTCTTTTAAATTTTTAATTCAACATTATCTTTTTCGTCAATAATCATATGGTTGCTTGCCAATATCTTTCTCATATCAAACCTGTGTAACTAGTACATTGGACAAGTACTCTATCAGTCACAATGTTTTGAAATAGTTGTCTATTTTATAGCTGCTAATAGGCAAAGGCTGTTTATATTGTTCTCTACTATAGTTTATGGGTGTGTCAATGTGTCGGGATTTTTTTTCTAACTTTATATCCTACTAGGAAATAATGGAAGAGACGATGGCTCGAGTTCCATTGTTGAAAAAGATTGTTGATCACTACAGTGGACCAGATAGGGTAACTGCAAAGAAGCAACAACAAGAATTAGAAAGAGTTTCTAAAACTCTTCCCGAAAGTGCACCATCTTCAGTGAAACAATTTACTAACCGTGCTGTTGTCTCTCTTCAGGTTTGGAAGTCTAAATATTGATATTGTGTTGGCATAGAAGTCTTGTACTTATGCTACTTGTTTTCCTCTTATGTTGATAATCTTATTATAAGCATCTCTGCCGATGATGTTCTACTTGCTCATGTAATTCAGTGGTAAACGAACCCCTTTTCTCGGTGTAATTTGATGTTAGTAGAGAATCAATTTCTCAACACTTGCATAATCAATTGAAAGTCCAACAAATATTTGTTATTTTTTCTAGGAAACTCGAATCTAAATTCTAGTTGATAAAATAAATCCCAAATGTATTGAGAGAATAGAATATGTATCTTATGCTGTGCCAAGGCTGAGCAGTTGTCATTGAAAAGGCAGAGATAGGAAAATCAAGTCTCTGCCTAAAACAACCTGTTGTTTGTTTTGGATGGTTTATGTGCATTATATGATGTAATTCTTTCTATAAATTCGTAATGCTCAAAATTTATAAATTATATGCATGTATTTGTGGTATTGAGTAGCTTGCCAACACCTGTGCACACACACACATACACACATACATATATATTATTTTGGTTTGTATTGCCTTTTATTTCAATGGATTGAGAAATGCTGGTCAGAAACTACTGGAAGGAATATTCTGCTCATTATTTATGTTTGGTCTGAAATATGATGCAGAGCAACCCAGGCTGGGGATTTGACAAGAAATGCCATTTCATGGATAAGCTGGTTTGGGAAGTGTCTCAGCATTACAAGTAACTTACTCTGCCTTTCAAGCTTAAACATGGTGGGTTTTTGTGGTATACGATATCCATTGTAATGTGGACAAATCATCTGAGCTTCTTGCATGTCAAATTTTGTTAACTTCAGCTTTGATTAAAAAACTCCTATAACTCTTGCAATAATATGAATTATAGTTATCTTTTAGTCTTGTTGCTATCGATTGTTACATCTCTCTTTTACTTCTTAATAAATGAATTATCATTTTAATTAATCTTTCAGAAAGTGATAAAATGTGGGGTCATAATATTGATGATTTGGAAATTGGTGGTTATCATTTAATTATTTAACAATCAGTTTTATATATGTGTGTCTTTTATCAGAATTTTAATTATTTTATGAATTAACCTATTATCTATATACACACACTTGGGAGTTTTTTTTTTTTTTTTTTTTNATATTTATAAATATAAAGTGGAGATTCGTTATATAGAAAAAAGATAATAAACATTTCTTATTTACACACTTTTTAGATCATATGCTTATTAAAAGAAACTACCTAATTATTTTCACACGAAAGAATCGTATAAAAAATAACGAATATTATGTCCATCTCATTTCCTATATATATATATATATATATATATATATATATATATTATTGAAGGGCATTTGAATTTTTGCCTATCATTTAAGAAATAAGTATTTCTAAAAAAAAGGAATAGTAAGAATGACGTTAACAAAATTAAGATTAGTTCTAAAATTTGAACTAAATAAAAAAAATATGATAGTGCAACGAAAAGAGTTAGTGTTAATTAGAATTTGATGCGAAATTAATGTTTATTTAGACGCAAAAGACAAACAAGTGAAAAACCACACAACAAAAATAGGAGGACGGGCAGAAATAGAAAACTATAAACATTTATAGTACATATAACAAAAAGTAAAAATTATTACTGAAGATAAATATTATTACAAATAACTTTAAGTTGAAAAGTGAATTTTATATTGATGTATGACATGATTTATTTATATGAATGTTTAAATTGTATTAATAATAATAAATTATTAATAAAAACTGTTTAATGATATTGTAGGTTTGATTTAAATTTTATTTTTAATTAATGTAATTAATAATTTGTAAATTCATCGAACTTCATATTTAATTTAATATATTAAGTAAAATGTAGAAATTAAAGTTGTTAAAAATAAAGAGGTAAAAAGGAGATAAATTAATGAATTTATTGTTTGCTGTATACTATTACCTATCAGTACAAGTTTTGTTTGGTATAATTATTAGTACATTGTTTTCAGAGAAAAGTTCCCAACGTATGGTTTGATATCCAATAAGTGAAATCTTCTTCTGAAACTAAGTGATAGTGTTTTTTTTCTCATAGAAAATATTTCCTTTAATTTTTGGTGTGTCACAGATAATATTGTAGAAATTCAATAAACAAATTTACAATTTTATACATTGTATACAACAATAAAAAAATGTATTCAGGGAACATGAAAAAAGGTAAAAAGTTCACCTTAGAAAAAATAAAGAAAAAAGAAGACTAATACGTTTATGTTTGGCTTATGTGTTTTCTGAAGGATGTTAGCAATTTATTTTTTTTGAAAGAGAAAAGTACGTATACGCATACGTATTTATAGTTGAAATTCAAAATATTAGAAAAAAAACGTACAAAAAGCATGAAAAGAAATTTGACAAACAAAAAAACTGCCATATTAGAAAAAAGAATAATATAATTTGTATTTTTGTATTTATTCTTGCATAAAAACGGAGTAAAAACACAAAGTGTTAATAACTATTTTTTTATGTTGCTAATGAACTATTTTTGAAAATAAAAAGAGTCTAGCATAAATGAATATTTATAATTGAATTGAAGCTTTTCTAACCGTCCACAATTAATTGTGTAACTACCTCAATGGATAATGAGTATTGTTTTCCTATTTTTTTTCTGATGATGATAATGAAAAATAATAATAATAGTAATAAATTAAATTATTAAGTAAAAAGTAAAATACATTTTTAGAAAAATAGAATTATTGAATCGATTATACTCTAGATCTTCATCGCAAAGAAAGGTGAAAAAAAAGGACACAGTCAGTGTAGGTAGGACTCATAAAACAAAAGACACCTAGAATAACTTAAAAGCATATAAGTGGCATTTTGTTTTTTTAGCATCCAAAGTACAACCTTTCAAATATCTTGTACAGATTATTTGGGCAATGAAAAGGGATAGACAAATTTCAAGACAAAAAAGCTTAAGAAACACTACAATGTCTTTTCTAAAACAAAATTAACTTCCACTTTTAACCTAAATGTTTGTTTATAACTTCATCCACACATTAATCAGTCTCACATAGAGAGTTCTAACACAGTCAATTCTAACTACCAATTCACTCCAAGAAAACAAAAAGAATGATAATATTTTAATTTGTTTATAATATTTTAACATAATATACATATAATTTTTTTTCATTGAATTTAAATATATTATTAACAAATAAATAATAAATTAGTAAAAATTAACACAATTTTAAATAATGGACTTTAAACCTAACTTAATCTCACAAAAACGACGAATAAGATAAGATTCTTCCAACATATCACGTAGTTCGATATCGATCCAAAGAATGAATTTTAAACCTAATTTAATCCTACAAAATCGATTTATAAAATAAGGTTTGTGTGACATCCCAAAATATATAACAAAGTATATACGTAGAATGCATCAATTATAATAATAGAAACAGTTAGGAGTACGCAATAGATGGAAT